TCAGATGATGGTAATTTGGGCTCAGCCTTGATAGGGAATGAGGATTGGACTGACTAATTGGAAATTGATTTGGTGAAATGAAAAGTGTACAATAGGAGGTGTTGAAAGATGATTGTCTATTTTAAAAGAGCAGGCATAGAGAAATTAGAGATCAGCCCAGAGAGGTTGTTGAGGCCCCATCCCGGGAAGTGTTCAAGGCCAGGCTGGACGTGGCTTTGGGCAACCTGGTCTAGTGGGAGGTGTCCCTGCCCATGGCAGGGGGGTTGAACTTGATGATCTTCAAGGTCCTTTCCAACCTAAACCATTCTATGATAAAAACAGTTACCCAAATAAGCTTGAGAAACCATTCTATGATTCTATGATAAAAACAGTTGCCCAAATAAGCTTGAAAACTTGAATATGGAGATGGCTTGTAAGTCTTGTAAGTTAAAGAGAAAAAGTTTTTTAACCCTTTACTACAATGACTGGATGAATAACCTGTTGTAAAAGGTTAGAAATAAGAACTGGAATGAGATGCAGAAAAAGGCTCGGTTAAAGCTGTGTCTTAGGTCAGAACGGTTATGGATAAAGTTTGATCTGACTAGTTTGAGTTTCAGTAACATTTTCTGTCGACCTATAGGGACAGTTAGTGCAGGTGCGAATAAGAGATTCATAAAAATAAACACATTGTAAGATGTGTATAGTCCTGGCTATGACGAGTACTGGAGAGGTGATGTTGGAGTGGATCATACTGTTGGTTTCTCCAGGATTGTTCTTGACAATTGGTGACTGAAATTTAAAGGCACCTGTTATACTTGAAAGACTATTACTAAGGAACTACACAGCCTTGAGGATTTGAATTACTGAACCAAATAGCATGAAGTGCAAGGTGTCATAAGTACGAATTATTACAAAGAACCTTTGCAATAGGCTGGGAGCTCATGACTTGGAAATGCAGAGGATTAGGAAGATGTGAGTGGGTTTAGTTGGTCACAGTGAGTTTGAGCCATGAAGCCAAACAGAACAAATAGGATCTGAGAATGTATCAGATTATCTTTACACTGTAGAAGTGGGCGACAGCGATGTTAAGCACTGAGAAGAGTTAATTTTAAGTGCTGTATGTTTTTCTGGCTGCTTAAAGTCAAAAGTAATGAATCCCATGTGGAACAAGTACAGAGAGGTTAATCCAATTATTGGGTGAATGGTGGCTCTGCTTATGGTGAAAAGTAAAGGAGTTTGCTCTGCATGGCTAAACAAGCCAGACACTGAGACAGCATGGTTGCGATTCAAATCAAAAGACAAACTCACTCAAGTGGTTATGGAAACTGAAAGTTCTGCAGTCATTAGATCTAAATGCTCCAGAATTAGTTTTTGATTTGCCACAATATGTATTTTGTGACACACTTGGAAGGAAATGCTTTAGTGGTGGAGATGTAGCTCCTTATCAAACAAGGTGATTAGCTTTATCCTTTTGCAGCAGATATTGCTGTTCTGTGGTTTCTAGCAATACTTGGTGTGCTCACTTTCATGAAGGCTCTTTTATTTGTTCCCTTTATTTTAATATTATTAGGAAAAAGCTATATATTTAGTGAAAGCTTGCAAAGAGTAGGGGTCAGCAAAACCGTAGTAACAGAATCTATGAAAGGCATTTTCTCTATTCAGTCATATTGAGAGAATATTTATAAAGCTCTTTATTTTGGCTCTGTTGGAAGTATTTACAAAACCAAACAAACTAACTTGGCAAGAATCCTTTCCAGATGTGATCTCGGAAAAATTAATGGGAATTGGCCACTCATGTACTTGCAAACTCATTAGTCCTTTTAAGTATCTGGAGGCCTGATCTATCCGTTTTTGAAATAGAGCAGGTTATTAAAGAGAGACCAATTGGTAGTTTTCCAAAAACACAGGTTGCCAGTTGTTAAGGGTCTCACTTCAAACACCTGGTCTCTTGAGAAGAAAGTTCAGAGCAAGAGGTCTTTCTCACAGGGCAAGAGAGATTTTTTTTTTTTCTTAAAAAACAATCCAACAACTATTACCTCCTGTTGCTCAGAACCAAGTTAAAGATTGCAACTTTTAAATTTGAAAAGACATGAACTTCCAAGAGTTCTGATTTGGGAAGGAAAAGGATTTTTTTATAACTAGTGATTTCACAAGGAACTTGGAGAAAGACCTATTATTATTAATAATTTTAATTATATTAATACCAGCTGCTATTGGGCAATTAGTTTTTCAAAACAGGTAAAAAATTTGAATGTAGAAGAAAAAATCAAACAGAAACAATTATTCCCTGCTTCTCAGGACTTCCAGGAACAGTTATCTTCCCTACTTGTCTGTAATTGTTAACACAAAATGACTGGGAAAATGTTCTTTTGCAGTTGTTTTATAAAACTGTCAGCCTAATACCAGAATCCCAAGAGCTTTACACTGTAAAAATGAAGCTGTGAGAGTTCTGCAAGTCTCTGAAGGTTGTAGTGTCACCAAGTAATGGGCTCAATATATGATCGTAATAGATGTTTGAGGGGCTGAGGGGAAAGGGGACAATAGGGGGCGAATACATACGACTAACACATCTCAAAGAGCTGCTGGCAGGTAGCCCTTGTGTTTTTCACCATATGAACACCTGCAGTACACTGTGACTTTGAATAGTGCTGGCTTTTTAGTCTCTGGAGGTGAAACACAGAATTTTTTAGGCAGCTGTGGCTGGGATTGATTTGTGACTTACCCAAATGCCTTGGTAATGATGTAATGCTTAGATTCCTGTGACTAGTGAATGAAATAGAAGGCTTGTGTGGATGGATTAGGTGTGCAGAGCTCTCTACAGCTCATCATCTCAAATTCTAATGCAGTATGTATAAAAGCATAGACTAATAATTATTTTACACAAGGGAAAATATCTGATCGAAGTGTTAAGGTTATTTTTATTCATGGAGAATTCTCAGAGAAGACTGCTTTGAATATTGACAAAAGAGCATTCTGTGGGGCATGAGGAGAACTGCTACAGCACAACCTGGTTCCTAGTTTTGTGATCTCTTATAAATGATGGCCCTGAAAGTGTTGGCAGGGGCCTACTGTGTAGTTAAGGATAACTACACTTGCTGGAAAACATGAAGTGCCCTGATGTGGTTTCCAAGTGGGAGGTACATTAGCGTATTATGTATGTAGTATTTAATGGTGTGCAATAGTATGTAATTCTCCTTACATTGAAATTAAAGGAGGAACAAGCTTCGTTTGGTGGAAGGGACTTGGATGTCTTGCTCTGTTCCTTTTAATGGCAAAAGGGTGGTAAAACCCACATGCTTCTGTTTTGTTTGCTGAAACTGACTTTGGATAGAAAGAAGGATCAATAAGATGTGAATCAGGGAGAATTTCTTGTGGTTGGTGAAGTCTTGCAGTATACTTAAAGGGTGTTTTTTCTTTGGAGTGATCTCACCAGTGATCTGTTCCTGGGACAATTATTTGAAAACAGTGATGTCTTGTAGCCTATTTTAAAGTATTAGAAGTAATAGTGTACTCACAGTTTGGGCCACATGATAATAGAATGCAGACTGCTCCACAAACACACTGCCTGAAGAATTCAGTGATTTTATTATCTGGACTCAGTCAGTCACAGCTACCTGGTCCTCAAAACACCTAATTCACCTGTGAAATTCAAATAATACAGACAAACTAAAATATCTTCTAGACTACCTTCCTCTTGGGGCTGCATGGGTTAACGAAATAACCTTTGAGTTTTGAGAGCAGAAATAGACAGAAGTATAGGTGGGAGATGCTATATAAGCTAAATTTAATTGTTTAAAGAGAAAATGTTGGCTCAGTGCTTCTCAGCAGTAACCTAGAAATTTTCATTCCCCTGCTTATGCTTCATGAAGTTTGGCTAAGTATAAACTGTGTGGTTTTATGCTTATTTAGGCATTAGTAATTTTTTTGTGTGTAAGCCTTTTTCTATGTCAATGTATTTTCACTTAGTTAGCATGAACCTCATCCTTTTCAGAACAATAACAAGTCTTTCAAAGTGTTTGTTTTATTTCTTAAGGGAAAGATCTAAGTAATCCTATCCTATTTTTCTTCATTTCATGATTATTGCTTCTACCTGACTTTTGTGGTTTAATTGTAATTTATAGCAAGGCTCCTTGGTATGAGATTAAGAAGTACACAGTGACCATCTGTGCACTGAAAGTGAGAATTCTAAGAGCACCAGTAGCTAGCTGAATACTTGACAGTGGTGAAAAAACAAATACGGCAGAGTGGTCTGCCTAGGTCTTATGTTCAGATGTTTAGGTGAACACTTGTAGTTTTCATGTGACTATTCAAATCAAGATAGCTGGGAACAGGATGTTTTTTAGGAGTGAATGAGTCTGTCTAACTGAGAGAAGAAGAAAAGAAAAATAAATACTGCTCCAGAAAACCTTGGGGTCGGGGATAAGGAGGAAGCATGGCAGTTCATGCAGGATATCCTTAGTAGGAGAAAATTGAAGAGGATTGCTTGCCACATCAAACAAAAAGAAACAGTAGTCTGTGCACTGAAGAGTGGGAACAAAATCCTTAAAAGGATGAGATTTATGTGAAGAATTCAAGAGAGTAGGACCCTGGGTTCTGGAAAGGAACCAATTTCAAGAGAAAAAGGTAGACAAAAGGTTTCTTTTATTGGTAGTGGTATTTGATCTATTTTGGCTTTAATAGGAACCAAATCTTCGAAAGGATTTTTCACTCTTGGTGCCTGAGTGCAGTTTATTGGCAAAGAAAAAGAAATTGAGATAGCAGCACTTTCTGATGCCAGATAGGATAAAACTCTGTCAAGGGGATGGCGTTAAATTTGTACTTTATGTACAGAGAAGCATAAATATTGCAGTGTGTGCATATAAGGTATGTAGAAAGAACACGTTAATTAAGAGATAGAAAAAGAATAGCTGGATAAATAGGAAAGTGTAGAATTTGAAGTGTTTGTTGCCTTTAAAAATACCACATTTCGTTTTAACGTTACAAATACTGAGTAACTTTTCTCTTATTTTTAACAGACTCTGAAGGCAGATCCAGAAGAACTGTTTACAAAACTTGAGAAAATTGGTAAGGGCTCTTTTGGTGAAGTTTTTAAAGGAATTGACAATCGGACTCAGAAGGTGGTTGCTATAAAAATTATTGACCTAGAAGAAGCAGAAGATGAAATAGAAGACATCCAACAAGAAATCACAGTGCTGAGTCAGTGTGACAGTCCATATGTAACTAAATATTATGGATCCTATTTAAAGGTAAGATGCTCACAGATGATGGTGATGGGATTTTATAAGTAATTCTTTTCCAAGTTATCCAGTCGTCCCTGTTCTGTTGGCAAGGTTTCAGTCAGACCTCAGCTGAAGAAAAATTATTTTTTTGTCCTTTCAGTTCTGAATAAAGAATGAGTTACTATATTTTGTGAAGTATGTGACAGAACTTAATAGAAAAATAAATGCAGGTGTCTTTTGGTATTCCTGTACAAAAAGAAATTCATTTAAATAACATCAGTTTTTTAAGCTCTGAATAATATGTTTAGATTCTCTTAATATTAGGAGAACTGTTGTTTAAATTCAGAAAATGTAACTGTGCATTTGAATTGTTGAAACTTTAAACACAATGTATTATCAGCTGTTTTGTAAAGATTGAAAGTTTTTGTCAAGGTTTGATTAGTGGCAAAGCTTAGGTTGCTTTTGAAAGGAGACTGAACCTAGCCTTGATCTGAGTGGTTTAAAAATTAAAATCTAGAAGTTAATCTAAAATTTTGCACATTAGCAAACTGCACATTAGCTGTAAGTGAAGCTAATGGAAGGGGGTTTCCATTAACTGCCTTCTGAGTCTGTTTCCCTTACCTCCTCCTGCTATATTAATTAATTTCAGGGATGAGTTTTAAATGTGCCAGAAAGAGGTGTAATTTTTTTTTTTTTTTTAGTTTTCAGGGGTTTGTTAAATTATTTTTTTCTTGGATGGATATAATGATTTATTACCTCTAGAAGCCAGTGAAAGTATCTGGAAGCTTTGGTACTACTGTATTTCTTTGGTCAGGCTTTGTCCCTGTCTGGATAGCTCTTTCTTTGATGACAGTGAGATGGCAATCTAGATAAGAGATTGTTTTCTTTACAGGGTTTGAAGTTACAAGGAGGCAGAAAATACTTTAACATGAATTTTCAGTCTGCTTTCTCTTTGGTGGAAGCATTCTGTTTATCAGCAAAACGGGGAAGATTCTGAAAGAGGGACGCCATTTTATCTCTGGATTTCTGAGATTGCCCGTTAGTTTCCAAGGAAAAAAGGGCTTTTTCTGAATCCAGGAGATGCATTACTGAAGGGACAGACAGTTTGTCCTTTCTTCCTTGCACTCTGAACCAGTTTGCTTGAATATCTTGTCACTAAAGGCTTTGTGAATGGTTTCAGACTGGTAATCTATCACCAGTACTGGACTTAGAAGTTATGTATATTTTAGATCTCAGAAGCATCAGGAGGCACGTAAGTCAGCACAGTAAATTGGATGATTTTTTCATCGTGGCTTTTAATACTACTTTTGAAATTTCTCAGTCTAGGTTTTGTAGTTAAGTGAAGTATGACAAAAAGGCAAAAGTGGTATTTCTCTCCTGGACTGTCTCTCTGCTTCGAATCTGTTCATTTTAGAGCAGGAACAGTAAGATCTTATAGGATAGGTAAAATAGAATACAAGAAAAATAGTTAGAAGTTTGATGGGAATGCCACTTAATAGTTTTTAAAATGCATAATAGCAATGTGTCTGAAAAGGAATCCATTGTCCAAATTGGAACTGGGTGAATGTCAACATTTTGAGAAGGTAGTATGGCAACTGTTGCTTTTCCTAATTGAAGGAGAAAGGAGACTGTAGGGCTAGGTAGTCTGAATGGGTTTGGCTGGATGTGTCATTAGTGGTATTTGTGCTTATTGTGGTGAGGAGGAGCTTCTGAAAATACTTGTACCTTCTGCATCACTTCTGTCAGGTGCAGTAGCCTGTGAATTTACCAACTTTTGCCAGTTTCCTAAAATACTGGACTAACAGTGGCTATGTGTGACCCAGTTACTTTTGGAGGAAAGCACAGCTCTTTCTGCAGCTAGTAGAATGTACAGCTAGTCATGTGTATTCATTATTTCAGTTCTTTGTGAATGTATGTTGTTTTGCAAGACACTTGGTACTACAGAACTTTCGGTCTTCAAAACAAAAAACTCATTTCTTTATGCTGTTAAAATTTAATGTGGTGGTTACTAGGTGTTGCTAAAGTGACAGATCTTTGCCAAGGAAACATTTTCCAGTTCTATTAGCTTTCTAAAGTAAGGGTCAGGTCTTGTTATTGGATAGTAATAATGTGTCATCGTGTATATATATATATGTATACACACACACACACACATACACACACTTAAAAAGGACCATAGTAATGTTTGAATGAATTGGTTAATATTCTTGGCTAAGAATCTAGGTTTATTTGATGCAGATCTTTGTTGTATTTGCAAGCTAGGACTGCCATATGTAGTTCTAAGGGTCCGACCGTCTTCTAACTCTATTTCTGACAATGTGATAATCCATCACCAAGAATGTTCAACACATTAATTTTCCACATCTTGAGTAACTAGGTGACATTTTCTTCCATGATTGGACGGTTTAGCTCTAATTACAAGAAACATATTAATGTTTTCTCACAGAATGAACTTCTTCGAAGTAAGCAAGTAGGAAAAAGATAGAATCTTAGGTTATATTGCTAGCCACTGCAGTGATTATTATTCTCTAAAGCCTGCGCAGCATGATGTGTGCTGACCATGTGTCTGTTGGATCTTGGATAGAAAGACGTACTGTTTACAGAGAACTCTGAAATTGTTATTGGAATTTCTATTTGTCTGCCAAAAATAATTTATCGAAAATCAATTTAAATCTCTCGTTTTTTTTTCCTTCTGGCTCTAGATCAGTCTTTGTTTCCCTAGGTTTTGTGCATATACTTTTGTGAGCTGAAGAGGTGTCATCTTACGTAATACCTTTTTTCCTAAGTACTCCCATGTCAGTTGTTAAGTAGGAGTAAGTATCTTTTATGAGAACTTTTTGGTATTTATTTTGTTATGCCAAGTTTCAAGATACTGGGAAAGAAAAATTTCTATCCCATTTGGGACACTGCAGACCTGATGATTAATATTTCATGTCCCTTTCTAGAACAAGTTTATGTAATTGCAGAATACCTGCTGTGACATCCTTTAAAATATTTGACAGACTTTAAGAGGCATTCTGTGTTTTCAGGTTGACAGGCATTACCAAGAAGATTTTTTTATTTTTGAAGATTTTCTAGGTAGCCAGAATATCTTGGGGTGGTGGTTGGTGTGTGGTTTTTTGTTGGTTTGTTTTGCTGGGTTTTTTTAATTTTTATTAAAACATCGGAATCATCTGTCTTTGAGAAATCCTTGTATTGTTCTTCATTCTCTGTTATTCCACACCTGCTTCAATCGAGCTACATGGTTATACATACCAGTGTGTTAAGGGACCTGTTGCTTGAAATTTTAGAAGGATTATATAATACTGCTGTACTTACTTGAGGCCTCTTACTGTCTTCAACTGATGTTCATGAGAATAGCTTGTCAAGCTCTTGGTGTCTACTGCATGGTATACATTGAGGTACAACTTGAAATCACTATTGTCATTTAATGACCTAACGACAGTTACTTTGTTCTAGAAATTTACATTTAAAAACATACTAATTTTTAGCTATTTTTTGGAGTAGGGTGATATACTCAAATGCCTTGTTAAATTTTCTTACTCTAATTTTTTTTTTTATATCCCAACTTCATCTTTTCAGAAATGTTTGCTTTATAGCAATTTTTTTTCATATCCAGAGACTAAGTCATATCTGTTCATGTGAGGTATTACTGCTTTAACACAGTGAGTCTTAAATAAAAAGCAGCTAAGTGCTTGCATAGAGCAAGTCTTCCATTCCCTGTAGGCTTTGTTCTTTATGTCTGTTGTTGGCGATTTATGTGTAATTGTGGTGCCAGAGTTCATTCAAATAAGCAGTAGTGAAGTGGCTACCAGTTTAGGCTGTCATCCTGAATACAAATTAATTTGTGGAACATCTTTTTGTCAGAAGCCTTAAGGTCTTTATATAAAAACAGAAGTGCAAATGCTCCATTCTAAAGACACATTTTTAAATGTGATGTCTTTCTGTTCCCATTGTATTGGGACAAAGGGCTTTTATCTACTGTAGAAGATAGTAAGTAACTAGAATGTTGCTCATAAAGCATATTGCAGCAACATGCTTTACATGGGTGCATATATCTAGAGGGATTGCTGTTCCTTATCTGCCATGGTGTGTTTAAAAACCTGTGTCAATGTTGCTTAATGAAGTAGGCTTAGCAAAATAGGTGGTGACTCTGTTATCTCTGTGCTCTGGGAACCATATCTATCCTTGCTGTCTTCCAAATGAAAGGTTCATCTGTTCCATCTATGATCTGATTAAATGCTCCATGGATACAAGAATTATAGTTCTTTTTAGATCCTTATAAAATTAATTCATGAAATGTCTCTGAGTCTGTTTACTTCTTTAGATTTTAGGTAACAGCATCTGCTGCCTCCTTTGTAATGGAATAGGGATTCTTTGTGTTTCTTATTAGATTTATTTTTTGATTTTTCTTATAAAATTAAATAAAGTTGTTTGCTGTCTCTTCTGAGTTTTACCATACTGTAACACTTTAAAAGTATTGCCATGCTATTTATTCTAAAAGTTTTTCTATCTAGGAGCTTGTCAGCTCTGCTTTTTACATCTTACTCTGCTTTACCAATTTTTCAAGAGCTTAGTTATATTTGGTTCTGAAGTTGTTTCTCTTGTCCGTTTTAGGCCATGTTGTTTCGAATCTGTTTTATTTCCAAGATTCAGATGCCTCTCTGACAATGTTTCTTCAGTTTTGTTAATAACTTTAATTACTGCTTTATTATAACTTCATAACATTTTCGTATTTCTTTGATCTTGGATTATTATTTAGAAATATATGAGAAAATTTGTCTTTATCTTTAAATGGTTGAAGCATGGTTTCTTGGCTTTTTTGCATATATGAGAGTATGTCACACAAAGCTGAGGTTAATATATGTATATGGACAGAAGCTGAGATCAATATGTTATATCTGTATAAATTAACAAGTCTTCAAATTCTCTGTTTTAGACTTCTATACATATGAATATAAAGGCAGAGCAAATGATGACTAAATAGTGTCAACATCCTTCCAGTACCTAAAGGGGGCCTACAGGAG